AAACACTAAACACTATTAACAAGTGGACATAGAACATAAGATGTTCAGAAATTAAGAATACAAATAAAACATCCCATATAAGGTTAAAAGGAAGTGAGTAAAAGGCTCAGAATGTACAATGAGAAAACTAAGGAATTTAATCCAGGAGCTACAACATACCATGAAAAGGGATTCCAGAAAGACACTTGGCATTACTAAATACGGGAAGTTGTCTTGAAGATTATGCAGCCTCACACAGTGAATGAGAAAAACCAGCACCAAATGCACACCATTGAGAAGCTTCTTAATATACAAGGGGAAAAACTATTCTTTAGCTTTTTTAAGTTTTCAGAGAGAAATAATGAAGACGAAATTATATTAGACTTTTCAACAACACTGTAAACTAAAAGAGTATAGCAGTGCCTCCGAATTTGAGGAAACAGTTATTTCCAAACTGAGATTTCTATATCCCTACTATAAACACCTGTAAGATAAGGTACAGGAATTCTGGAGATAAGATGCTACATGAACAAGAGATTACACAAAGAAAAAGAAAAAGAAATGGGATGTGAAAAAGAGGTAACAGTACAACTGGGGTAGAATGCTGCAAGCCAAGAAATAAGTGATACTGCTGTATTTCTGACACATTCATGATAGAAATATTGACAAGTTTTGTAAAGACATAGGAAAACTGCAACAGGTACACAGCAAACCAAGCAAATTAAGATATTAAAAAGGGCAATGATAAATCCCAGGAGTAAGCAGACAGCTGCACAAGAACTAAAATAACAGCAATGCTAGTAGTCACCATATTACTTGTACAGCTGTAACAAACAAAGAATGTAGCTATTTTGAAGCACACATGGAATTCTGAATTAACCAAACATTCTGATTTGTCAATAATGAGAAAATGGTTATGGGCGGGGGTGGTATTGGAAGATGGCAGATAGTCACATGTGTAAGAGAGATTATAAACAGTAAATCCTCATCAACAATAATGACAGATAAATCAAGAGCTATACAAATAGTAAACACAATAGTAAACACAATAGTGTTTACACAATAGTAAAAATATGTTCTTTAAAAATATGGAAGTAGATACCAGAGGAGGTTAAGAGAAAAGTTTGCTTCTAGGAAATGGGAAAACACTGGGATAGCTGTTTCTCTTTAAGTATTAGCTGTGCTTTAACACTACACTGATTATATACATTTAAAATCATTTTTAAGGAAAGTATAATCACATTCAGGTAATTTTCTGAAAAGGCCACAGCTCAAATCCTAACCATACCTCCTGCAAATTTTGGTCTTCTTGAGTCCAAGAATTTAAAACATGTGCTCCAGAGTCACTTACGATGAAATTCACCTAAAAGATTTCAAAGAAATAATTAATGTTTAAGTCCAATTCCCCTAACCACATTATATTTTAAAATAATGTGCAGTTTCTAAAAATAAATAAATAATATTCTGCAGTTTCTAGCACTGTCTTGCTGAATGATTCATTCATTTTGCAGTGACAGAACGCCTAGTATGTGCCAGGTGCTGTTCTTGGCACTGGGGATACGGAAGACAGAGATGAACACTGTCACTCACAATGTGGGGAAAGGTAAGGCTGTAGGGTTGACCATATGGGAAGAACACAAACAAAGTAAATAAATTATTAAGAGCATCTTGAAAAGTGACAGATGCCATAGGAAAGAAGCTCATCTGCTCCTTCAGAGTGGGTGGTCAGGCAGGGCTCCTTAGGGTAGTGGTAACTGAGGGGAACACAAAGACCAGAAAAATCCAGACCCAGAAAGCACTGAGATTGGAAGATCCCAGGTACAGTAACTAGCAAATGTAAACATCTCTGAGAACAGCTTCAAAGGGGTAAAGATCAGAGTGGGCAGAGAGGTAGGAAGAAAAAAAAGTACTAGTCTTATCCTATAGGGCACTGAACATCACAGAAACAATTTGGACTTTATTCTAAATCTTAAAGTAAAATGCAAGCAAAAAAAACTCAAATAAGATAATGACAAAAAATAAATAAATACCAGAAAATATATCTAATGATGACTATGCTCCCTTTTGGGAGAAGGGTAAGATTTATGTTCCCTTTTGAAAAGAGAACAAGATTCTCTCTCCCTGATGATCTCTTTTCAACATCCAAGAAGTAGTTATTATTCCCCTTAAGTTTGATAATTGGTCTTCTCAAGATTAACTGACATTGATATAATTTACCAGGCACTTTATATTATCTCACTGAAATCTTACAGCAATCATAGGAAGTTAAGTGTTATGCTGACACAGGAGGAAACTGAGCCCGAAGAGATTAAGTAACAGAATTAAGGTCACAGAATGAAAGCCAATGCCCTGAATCAGTATATAGTTGACATCTCATTATACATATATTACCCTACAGTTTGTATTTTATTTTGGAATACATCTGAACGTTTAACAACTTCCTGTGTTCATTTTTACTCTTCCTATCCTGTCTTTCTAAGAACTGGTTAGGGCTGCAACAAATGACACAGAAAACAAATCATCCATTTGTGGTAACCAAAATAAAATAAAGCACTTGTGATTCTGAAACATGAATACAATCTTGGAAATTCTATCAATTCTCCAGTTTCTCTTTTTATTGATAAAAACAATTTCTAGTTAGCATTCTTAAGTGTCTTCCTATTGACACGGTCAAATTCTGCAGCACTGTAGTATACATACACTAATACACATAACAAGTCACTTAGGTTGTGCCTCTAAGGAACTGTGGTGCTCAAGACAAGCTTCTTCTCTTTACTTGAATTTCTGCATGACCACCACGGCAGGAATAAATAAGGCTGAAATTCAGATGAACATTTATGGATGACAGCCAACTTTCCTTGGCTAGTAAGAGTTCCTAATGGTCAGTATCTGTTCCATAGGGGCTATTATATATTTTGAATACCACCCCAGTAATTACAGCACCTACTTCAGAGGACCATTGTGAAGTTAGTACATGGGAGGCATTCTCTCATACCAGATGCAGGGAAGCGCTCCACAATTTTCACTGTTGTTGGCCCCAGTTAAATGCATGTAATGTACTAATCCCAAGGGGAGTTCTACACAGTATATACACAGTATATTTTTAAAGCAGTAGACAAACTGTTCTATGTCAAATGCATAACAAATTCATATATAGAACAATATATTCAGGCAATTAGGCACATCCCCCTACCACAATTTTGCTTTTACTTTACAAACTCACCAGCTTTTTGAAAGGAAATATATCATACATTATTCTACAATATTCCATAGATGATTCTACTGAGCAAGTCCACAGTGATTTAGATATAGGGGCCAAGGGGATGATTCCTTGGGTCCTATTCTTCACCAGCATATCAAACTCAACATGCTGTCTGCAAGACTCTGCCATGTAAGGGCAGTGATCCACAACAAATACTGTTTTATGAGATTCCGAAAAGATCTTCATCTTGTTTCAAGCTGTAAGGGAAAAAACATTTTAGCCAAGTGTCTTACATGTAACATTTAATAGTTTAAATTACTTCTAATTAGTGCATCTTTTCCTCAAAAACTGGTAGTGAAAATGACTAATCAGTCTTCAAAGAACTGCATCTAACAAAGGGCAAGATTTAATGAGGTTATGATGAGAAAGTATCAATTCAATGAGTAAGCTACATCAGAGCAGCTCACTCTACCTGACACAGGCAAAATTACAGTTCATACATGTTGGTTTGCTTTTAAATAACTTAAACTGTCAAAAGAAAACATTTTCACATATAAATGTATCTGACTCCCTTACATAATAAACAACATATACTCTTCAAATACTTTTAATAGTCCTTGCTAGTAGACATAAATAAACCCCCAAACGAAGCCAAGATGCCACTTTTGGGCTGCCCCCCCAAAGCCTCAAGGCTTCTGAAAAGGTGAGGACAGAAAGGATTCACAGGAAAGAGGATCGACAGCAAAAGGAAAAGCCCACTATTTAATAAAGAATAGCCCCATTAGGATCAGAGCCCCAACTTCATTCTCTCCCTTAGCTTTACAAACATCACCGTCACTTATCATTAGAACACAAAAACTTAGTGCTATCAGCACAGTTTGAAAGATGGAACTTTCAGAACTTTTTTTTTCTATCAAAACTACCTCGCTTGACTAATCAAATCCTATTATTGAATAAATAATCCGCATTCGAAAACCATAAGGTTAGCAGAGCAAAAGTGATCATCGAATGAACTGACTTAATGATCTGGCTACTTCGCTTTCAAACGCATTTTCCCTTCATGCAAAACTTATCTGAGAAACCCAAACACACTCTGCTGAAAGGTGGGGGTGGAAAGTACAAGGTGAGTGGGGAGGGAAGACCTCAGGATCGAGGTTTGCTTACTTTCGTGCAGGGTCCTGCCGTGAAAACGAACAGAGGCTATACCCCACAGCCTCGGGAAGGGGCTGCTGGCTGGGTGGGGAGGGTCAGCGCACAGCCAGGAATGTCTGGTAGCACAGACAGGGCACTACGCTTGCCCCGCTCATCTCCTAACACACCGATGCTCCCAAGGCTTCCTAAATAGTCGAGCGCGCGCGCGTGCGCGTGCACACACACGCACAGACTGGGGCTCGCGCGTGCGCAGAGCGCTCACGACGGCCGCGCCAAGCTGCCCTTCCCCCTCGGCAGTCCGGACGCCCAGATCGCTGAAGAGGAAGAGGGCGGAGCCTAAAAAAAAATCCTCCGATCCTCAAGATTTTCTACCCGCTGAATTTTCCCAGTCACCCAATGGCAAGATTGATCCGGGAGACTCGAGGGCCGCACGGCCTAAACCAACCGTGGTCCCCTAGCGCCAGGCCCTCCCACCCGCGCTCCCGTTCTCCCGTTCTCGATCTCTCCACACTAGGCGGCTTCCTACTGGCAAAAGTCGCGAGATCTGAGAACAGACGAGCGAGAGCCTGAACGCGCCTCAATGGGGAGGGGTCGAGGAGGGAACCGCCTCTACCGCTCGCGCATGTCAGCCAGGGGCGGCCGGTGGCTCAGTGAGGGCCGCCTCCGCGGTTAAAAGAGGAGGGAAGTCTCGCGAGGTTGGGGTGCCAGGGGAGGTCCGGAGGCGGCAAAGGAGGTGTTTCCCGGCCCGGAATGGGGCTGAGCCGCGCTGACTCCCCCAGCCGTTCCTCCGCTGCCGCTGCCGGCTTCTGCCTCTGCCCGCTGAAAAGCTGAGGGGCGTCTTCTCCTTTGGGTAGCGAGGTCCCGTTCGCGGAGCCACGGCTGACGGCTGCGAGGCACAGAAGCCAGAGTAAGTGACTGACCTGGGACCCGCGCCCTAGGCGAGTCGGGGGCTTTCTGCCCCAGGCCACCCCCCCGACCCCTAATCCCGCCCGTAGCTGCTCTTTCCCGGACGCGGGTGCAGAAAGTTTCACAGAAAACCCTCTTCCCTGTGGCCCCGACCAAAGCACCTGTTTTCTTGCACCCTGCCCCACTGAGCTCAGCCTTGAAGGCTGTCCCTTTGGATTGGGGAGCTGGACGGGCATCCCCTGTTACCCTGAAACTGCCCCCCAAGCCTTGCTGCCCTCTTCCCAGGGTCTTTACGCAGGCCCGTACCCTCTTGTAACCTCCCTGCGAGGAGGTTCACTTGCTGCCTTCTTTCAGTAGCCCAGCACGGACTCTGGTACCTCAGTCCACCCTGCTTCCCAAAGTGGAAATCTAAGGGTCATTCGTGATCCTGCCGTCCACTCGCACTGCAGCTGTTCTTTGGCCGGAATTATGGCATCTTCCCACTTTTCCCAGCTGGCTTCTCCACCATCTTCGCTTCATACAGTTTGTCTGAAATACAAGCATATAGCTATCACTCCTTTTCTTAAACATTTTCAAGAACCGGAAGGCTGAGAGAATTAATTAAGTCCTCTTTCTTCAGCATATCATTCAAGATCTTTTTCTCTCTGCCCCAATCCAGTCTTCCCTTTTCATCTCATCTTGCCTCTCCTCCAAAAGTCTTAACAATCTCTCATTCAGATTGTTTTTCCCCCAAACGTTTGAAACTTCCATAGTTGTGTGCCTTTGTGCTGTTCCTTCTAGATATGTTTGTTTTGTACCCACCACTTGAGATTCTCTTCATAGATCCGTTGTCTTCTCAGACTCCCCAGATGACACTGATATTTTCACTGTCTTTCCAAAGCACTTGAAACAGTTCTGCTGTATAGTTGATTGTGTTATTTATTCGTGTTATCAGTGTCCAGCCAATTTGAACTTGAGTTTGCAATCATGTCTTACTCATCTTTGTCACAAAAGCTAGTCCAGTGTAGTAGTGTGCTCTATTTCAGACGTGTGTGTACACATATATTTATAATGTAATTCTGGTGAGATCTTAAAATCAAAATTTCAGAGCCAAGAGACTCCTGACCTTTGTATACTCTTTAATGAGAAGACATTGTACTTTCAGTATTTGGTAAGACTATGCAAAACGGTAAAAACAAACAAAAAAACCCACTTTTAGTGATTTTTTTGGTATTTTACTATATTTGCCTACTGTGAAAAGAAGTGGGATGCATGTTTGTTAGGAATGTTTTAGATTGTGTCACAAGGTTGGTCAATGTACATCTGTACCACTCTTTCAAGAACTCTTGGCCCATACTTTAGAAATAACTGATTTAAATTAGCTTAGTTTCTACTTGATTTTCCATACCTTTTTGATCATAGATGTATCTGCGACTTTTATTTATTCACAATTCGTAAAAAATATTACTTTGTAATACTCATTCTTGCAATTAAAAAATTTCATTTTTTCCCGTAAGGTGACTTCGTAGTCCTTCATTTTAAAGACAGTGAAAATGTTCTATGCTTTCAGATTTAGTGATCTGTCTATAGAGGTGCTTAATTTTCTATGTAATTCTTTCTTAATCTCTTTAGATTGTTTCTACAAAAGCCATAGCTATGCTTTCTATTTTCTATTTCCTCATGTGTCAGTTAATCTAGTTAACATTAGAGGCATCTGTCTCAACAATCCAGTAAAATTTTTTTATTAAATTGTTAGTGTTTAAAGACACATGCATTGTATAGCAATGGTCACAGCATTTTTGTATAGATTCAGCTATAGGTTGGTGGATTTGTAACAAACACAGGGAAAGAATTACTGAATTTCTTTACATTTTTCTTAACCCAACTCTAAAACTAAACAGCTGGCAGTTGCTGTCTTGGGTGGGTGGTGGTTTCTCTTTTATCAGCAACAGAATGTTCTGAACCTTCTGCCAGGAGTCTGACTGTGAATGTCTTTGGGTGGTAAAGTGGGCGAGAGTGTGGCTAATGCTGGGGTTGGTAGGGAGGGAAACCTACTTTTAAATTTTTTCACCTGTAATTCATACCTACCTATAGAAAGTAATGTAACTGCACTGTCACTAGCTTAAAGTAAAAAGTACAAAAATGGGGAGATAACCAAGATGAATTTAAATTTTTTTTTTTTTTAATTTAAAACTTGTTAAGGGAATGTGGAAAATAATCTTCCTCCCACTCCATACCAGCCAAAAAAAGTAAAAAGTACAATTTTTTTTAAGGGTGGCAAGATAAAATGCATTTTTAAAAATATTTAAACTTTTTTGTGGTTTCACATACAGGAAATGAACAGGCAGAGTGTCAGAAAATGCACCACTGTTTTTCTAGAAGTATTAACATTGAAATACCTGCTGCTTATAGTTCCTTTCTCTGAATAGGTATGCTTTTACATATAGTCACAACACAAATTTAAAATACAGGTCATTCTGATACTAGTATTTGATACTAGTAATTATGCAATTTAGAGAGGGTCTTTTAAAGGGAATGTTGGCACAACGGGTTAAAGCCACCACTGCAAGTTAGGAGTTTGAGCCCCAGCACCAGTTCTATCCCTAGCACCTGAGGTGATCCACATGGCAGGTGACCCACATGGCACAGCACACCTCTTGTCTCCCCTGGTGCTCCCCTCAGCAGTGTACTTGGTCAGTCTGCCTGTTCTGCTCCCCACTCTGTCTCTGGTGAATCCTCTCACTGCCTCTGCACCTGTGGTCTGTAACCCAGTTTTGTATGCATAAATAAATAAATCTTAAAAAAAACAACTTTTCCTTGGTCATCTAATGGTTAGATGGTTAGGATTTGATGTTCTCTCTCTCTCTCTCAAAAAGTCTGTCAGTTAATATTCATTGATCTTAAATTAACCATAGGCTTAATTAAAATTGATGCAGTCTTTTATCAATATTTGAAATGTTACATTTTCATTTACTTTTCCATTTATTTTCTATTGCTGATGGCAATATGATTGAAAATCCTGGTGGTGTTTATAGTAGAGTCAGGAGATTTGCTGTTTTTTCCACCCAAGGACACAAGAGACTGAGATGGTTTTTATATAAGTAAAAGCAAATAGGACCTTGGGGATCAAGGCCATCTTGGCTCCTGAGTAGAATATTAAACCAGAGATCGGAAGTTCTATTTCTGGTACTAGCTTGCCTCCTTCCTTGGTGAATGGTGCTGTCATTTAGCTTCTTACCTCGGGTGTATTTCCTTACTGACGTAATGGGAGTAATACTTGTCCTGTTGCCCAAAAGACAAGGTAAAGTAATATTCATTCCTCAAGTTCAGTATCTACCAATAGTTTGAGTTAATTTAAATTATTACCTAGAAATTTATTTTTACTCCAGAGTGTTCTAAAGTTAAAGGTCATCTGAGTTAGGTTGGAAAGAAGGTTAAGAATAGGAAAGACAATTTTGAAAAATAAGAAAAAAATGATTTGCCCTTTTAGATAGCACGAGTGTTTTTACAGCTGTAACTGTTGAAAGCAGGTGATATTGATGTAGAGATAAACCCAGAGATGTAATAGCATAAAGACATGCCCATTCATTTATTAAAAAGCACAACAAATGTGGCTTTAAAGTTCAATGGGGGTAAAATAAGTAATAAGTCATCCCCAGGAGAAAATATAATTAGATAACTTCCTTAACACCATCCATGCAAGTAAACATCAGGTGAATTAAAGACAAAGGCAACACCTTGGGGCCAAGGAATGATTTTTGTTGTTGTAAGGTAATACATTATAAAATTGACTTTTTTATGGAGTACCGTTGTGCTGCCCCATTGCTGAACAGCCACTGATCTCTTTCCTGTCATAATAGTTTTATCCTTTAATAGTGCCAGATAAATGGAAACATGTAACTTCTTGAGATTCTATTCTTTCAGCAAAATGCCTTTGAGAGTTATCTGTGTTGTTTGTATCAATACTAATTTTCTACTGTTGTAGGAACTGCATTTTGTTTATCTACTTCTTTCTCTATGGTAAATTACACAGAAGTGGTATTACCAGGTCATATGGTAGCTGTGTCTTTAATATAGTAGGAAACTGCCAGGCTATTTCCTAAGTAGCCGTATCCTTTGGCATTCTTATCAGCATTCTTGAGTTTCAGTTGTTCTACATCCTTACTAACTCTTGGTTTATCATTTTAGACATTTTAATAGAGTGCAATACCAAACTCATCATGATTTTAATTGCATTTCTTTATTGGCTGTTGATGTTGGATTTGTCATGGGCTTATTTGCCATTTATATCTTTATGGTTAAGTGTTAAAGTCCTCTGCTCAATTTTTGGACCATTTCCTTACTGTTAGTTTTAAGAGTTTTGTATGTACTATAACTTTAAGTCCTTTATCAGATATGCAATTGCAAATACTTTCTCCTACTTTGTACCTTCTCTTTTCAGACTGTCTTAAAAGCTTCTTTCCCAGAGCAAAAGTTTCTAATTTTGATGAAATCCAGTTTATTACATTTTTCTCTTACGAATCAAGCTTTTGGTACATATCTAAAACATATGTGCTCAACCCAGATCACAAGGTTTTCTCCTTTTTTTTTCTTGTGGAAATGTTCATTACTTTTCATTTACATTTAGGTCTACGTCCATTATGAATTGGTTTTTATGTAAGCCAATTAATTTTTTGACATGTAGCTGTCCAGTTTACTGTCATTTTTTTGTTGAAATAAATTGACTTAGCTCCTTTGATTTATTTGCCTTTGTACTTTGTTAAAAACAAATCAGTTAACCATGGTTCTGTGGCTATGCTGGACTCCCCCATTCTGGCTGATTAGTAAACCTTAAAATTTGGTAGTGTGGTTTCCCAACTTTGTTTTCAGAATTGTATTGACTGTCCTAATTTGTTTGTATTTCTCTAGAAGTTTTAAAATTAATTTTATAATTTCTACAAAAAATTCTGTACTTGACTGGAAATTGCATTAAAAACAGCAGATCATTTGTGGATAACTGGTAGCCCTACTAGGGTGAAACTT